ACTAACACCATGACATGATTCAATCAACCTTAGGTAGTTACTAGGTTGTTTGGTCCGTAACTAAAACCATACAAAGAGAAAAATATTTTAGATTTACAAAACACACAATCAAAGGTGAATTAGTTAAAGTAAAACTTTTAAACACACAATTGTTTGTGGTCAAAAAACTCTAGTAGCATCAACATCCGAAGATCTTATTGTAATTGAAGTAGCTTTACCACCATATCTCTCTTTCTTTTCCCTTAAGGCTTTTGCACTTGAAGGACCGGTTTCACCAAAACCACTAGATCTAAGGTATGCATTTGAAGTCCTTACATTATTAGCAACAACAACCCTATTTCTAGATCTAGAGTCTACATTTGAAGTCCTTGTATTATCAACAACATTAACCTTATTTTCGGATCTGTTCCTAACTTTTGTAGGTTTTGTAACCACGGATTTAGTATATCTTTTAATATTATGTTTTGTATGTCCACAATTTAAATATTTGTTGCATTGGACTTTAAGTTTTGGCACATATTCTATCTTTGGTTCATTTAGGCCTTTTTTTTTTTTTGGGTCGGCTAACTAGTTTTTTGATTTCTTAAGGTATAATTTCTACATATCTAGTTACGGACCATTGATCCTCACTAGGTACAAGATATATAATTGGTCTATATGCCTTCGTCCACACTTTTTTCGTGTAACACTTATCAATAAATTCTTCGAGTGATCTTTGAGAATTATATATTGCACCGATGATATACTCACGAGAAATTACGGACGACTACCATTTGTTGCATCCATAAGTCAATAACAAACACTAACAATGCTTCTTCATGTCAAATTACTTTCGGTACTCATGATTCAATAGTCCACGTCTATAGGTACAACATATATAATTAGTTTATATGCCTTCATCCACACTTTTTTTGTGTAACACTTATCAATAAATTCTTCGAGTGATCTTTGAGAATCGTAGATTGCATTGATGACATGCTCACGAGAAATTTCGGACAAGCTGCCATTTGTTACATCCATATGTTAATAAGAAACACTAACAATGCTTCTTCGTGTCAAATTGCTTTCAGCAAACATGATTCAATAGTCCACTTTTATGGGTTTATGATCGAACTATTTCGTGTCTAAAAATTTACAATTTGGGGGTAAATAGAGATTCTTGTTTACATTTTGCATTCTCTTATCTATTTCTAAGTTTGGGTTTTTAAGTTGCACATGTGCAACAAAGGTGCAGTTGCATTTCTTTTTTCTTTTTTTTTTCCTTAACATTTTTGTAACTATATTTCTTTTTAAACGTGAAGGGCAATACGATTGAATAATCAATTGAAATTTTGCAATATGAATGGATTGAATATTTCTAACACATTCATGGATAAATGAGATGTAATTAGAAACATAAGAATAGACAAGAGACAAATGTTATTATGTAGGGACAAATGGATATTTTTATCCAAATCTTTGTTTGTACGATCAATTGAACTTGAGTATTGCTTCAAAATAGGTTTACCAACCTAACAAAATGAAGTTATTCAAGCTGAAAATGACTAATTAACTTATCTTAGTATAATAAGTGAGTTAAAACTTCAAAATGTACAAATTCAATCCAAGATTAGATAGTTAATTTAATCAAATGAAAGACCTTTGTTCGTGCACCTTTCAATGTCACTCCCAAAGTGATAAGATCAGTCCGACCCAAGTTGGAAAGCCTCTCCTGCTTTGTCCCCTACCACTTATATACGTTACCCGCAACAATTCAAAATTACCGCATCTAGAAAATGGGCTTATCCACAGTTCAGTTCAAGAGAAACACCGTAAACCCATATTTGGTCACAAGTAGTATATATATTCAAACGAGTACAGAGAGGACAAGACATCAAATTTTAGCTGGTGCGTCTTGAAAAGATGAGAACGAATGTGATTGATTCTTGTTGTACGCACCAGCATATGTGCAGAAATGGTAAGGGAAGCTCAAAGAGGATGCATGAATAAGAGAGCGAGCAACAAACAAACGTGAAAGCAAAGTATGTGAAGAAGGCACCAGCCATGTGTTTTGACGCGGTGTTTGTATCCGGACAGGCAACTCGCACATGGTTCGCGTTTCGTTTTTTTGTTGTATTGTATTACAGGTTTGCTACTTGGCTTTTGCTTGTCTTGTTCTATGGGTATTTGGCATCATTAAAGCTGGACCCCCACCAACAGACACACTGCAGCCAGATTCAACATCCAAGCCAAATGAGTCGCATGCGTTTTTTTTTTTTTTTTCAGTCTAGCAAGAGAGACATAGTCACATATCCTTGATGTGTTTATATACATATATTTGTGTTATATATAAATGTTAGATAATATAAAATTTTATTTGATTCCATACATTAGTAGTGGAATACTGTATTAATTAGGATGATTGTAAATTACCTTACTAATTAATTTAGGTTATATATACCAATCATAGAAAAATGAGTTTGGAGAGATGCGATGATTTTAATAATGATTGACGAGTGCAGTATTGAGGAGCTTGGCAGGCAAATCAGTGAGTCTTATTTTAGCCAAACGTACCCAAAAAAAAAGATTAGGTTAAGAGACTAGAATAAGGACAAATAATTAATTATTTTGGATAGTTATTCCATACGTACGGGATAATTAATTTTTGAATACTATAGATGGGCAATAAGTTATTTATAAGAGCACGTCCAGATCAATCAAACAAATCAACGAATGAGCTACAGTTCCACAGTTTCTAGGGTCTTAGCTGATTTTTTTAAGTTATCATCTTCTTCAAGTATTATATTGCGTCGTCATGATCTTTTCTTCTCTTTCCTCTTCTTTTTGGCTTTTGACCGGTGATCTACTTAATAAATTACTATATTCCAAAGATCGCGCATCATTTTGGCAACTTAAAAAAACCAATGAAGAGGCGAAACGCCTCTAGTCTGACGATGGACCGCATTAATTTAACCTCTAATTAAAAGCTTTATAAATTTTGTGATCAAAATATTTTGTCGTTTATGGCATTGGCAGGTAGCAGCAGTAAAGCTCCCAAAGAGGGAATCTGATTGTAGCATGGCAAGCAAGAATTCCGGCCCGGCCCAAAGCCCAAAACTACATCTCAAAATTTGAATTAGGAGCATCTTCGGACTGTTGTCGTTAATTTGAGCAACTTGGGTTTTATCTTGCTTTTTCATTCACACAGAAAAGATTGCCTGCGCGCAGGGTGGAGACCCACAAAATGGACATATCACATATGAGCATGGCTCACTCACAACGATTTCTGAAAGTCTCCGCTGCACTTTAAACGTGCATGCACTGTGCGACATTTATTTATTGTCTGGATGAAAACACAGTTTGGGTCCAAGAAAAAGATTTAACTTGCTTATTATTATAGAGGACGAGGTCCCTGGCCAAAAGTTGCCTGTCGTCATTCCTCATGCCATGTATAGTTACTTTAACAGTAGATTTCCGATTTTATTGCAACAAACAAAAGCGGACAGCAAATCAAACGCAAAAGCACGAGAATCTGAATTTCCACCATTCGAAAATGATAATGAAATTGACACTACAAAATAGGCGAGGCACCAAAGCAAGAGTTTTTTTTTTTTTTTTTTCATAATAAAGTATTTTTAAATCTTATTTTTTATAATAAGTTATTATATACTAAATAGAATCCATTTCAATTAAATACAATATATGTAAGTTTTGTTTTTTTATATAAAATAACATGTCAGTTTTATTTTTTTCTAAAAAATTAAGTTATCCTCTCTTTACAGCAAAAAAGTCTCTTTCGTTCAGTCTCTGCCAAAAGAGCCAAGATCGCCTCCGCTGATGTTGTATCCAGGGCTATGATTTTTCAGCCTATCTTGGAGGATGGGGTTTTTCGATTTGATTGTTCTGTAGATTTCTAGAGTTGCTGCACATCCCAGTCTTTCATTCATCAATACCAAAGATAGGGACACACCAATCGTGTGTCGTAGTGTTCCTTCATACACTCCTGCTTTTGAACGTGTTTCTGGGCAGCAGATTGTTAAACTTGAGGTGGATAGTTACGAATTTCCCATATTTGTACCTATCTTAATGTTAAATTTGAAATCTTTAATGTTTATATTATTGTGTTATTTCAAGTTCTGTCAATTTACAGTGTAGTGGTTGTAATGTGAAAGAATTTGTTTCTGGTTTTAGTTTCCTATTGTTTCCGGTTTGAGTTTTAAGAAATTAGAGCAAGGATAACAAAAAAGAGAGAGAAAACGTAAGTTAATTTTTTCTTTTATATTTAAATTTTTTAAAATTATTATATTAAATATATATTATAATACTTAATTAAAAAGATGACATGAATGTCTACATGACAAAACTATCTTTCTTTATATATAAATAAGATTTAAAGTATCTTATTTTTGAAAAAATAGATTAAAAACGTACCTTATTTAGGGAAAAAAAACTCATTGAAGCAATGAATAAATTGGAGTTATTTTTCAAACCAATGCACTTTTAAATTTTTATTTCTCGACTGAGGTAACTTTTAAACTTAATTCTCAAATAAAGATATTTTTTTGCCACATAAGATTTTTTTATCCATGTCATTTTTTTCTTAATTATTGAAAAATAATTTCATTACATTAAATAGCTTCATCCTTATTTTAGGTATTTCACTAATTAAAAAACTTTTAAAATGCTAAGCCTCTCTTCTTAAAAGAAAAAAAAAGTTTTCTTCTTTTTTAGGTTCAGGGCTGTCGCCGGCCACACTTGATGATGGTCGTGAAGTGGCAATTAAAAGAGGAGAAACTGGTACAAAGACAAGGAAATTCCAGAAGAAAGAAAGTGCATTCGATTCAGAATTAGCACTGTTATCTCGGCTTCACCATAAGCATTTAGTGGGGCTCATAGGTTTCTGTGAAGAAAATGACGAAAGGCTTCTGGTTTATCAGTACATGAGCAACAGGGACCTCCATGATGATTTGCATAACAAAGAAAATACCGAAAAGAGTAGCAGTATTCTGAATTCTTAGAAAATGAGGATCAAGATTGCTTTAGACGCCGAAAGGGGAATTGAGTATCTCCACAACTACGCAGTGCCTCCTATTATTCGTAGAGACATCAAGTCCTCTGATATACTCCTTGATGCAAATTGGACAGCTAAAGTATCTCATTTTGGATTATCACTAACAGGGCTAGAATCTGATCAAGAATTCATGTCAACCAGGGCAGTTGGGACAGTAGGATATATTGATCCTGAGTATTATGTATTAAATATATTAACAACAAAAAGTGAAACTTTAGGAAATATAATAAAAAAAATGATACTGAAATTCACAACAGTGGGTGTAAGCATTTTGAGTAAATAAAAAAATTTAAAATTTTCATTTTACATTATTATGTAGAGAAAAAGGATAGAGAAAGATAAGAAAAGAATAATAATAAGAAAAAGAACAGACTAATACAAAGAGAAAATAGTAAACAAGAAGAGATTAATATGTGATGATAAAATATTTTTTCAATAAAATAATTATAAAGAAAAAAGTTGATATATCAAGTTATATAAATGAGATTGTTCCTATATAACATAAAGTACATTATTTTGATAAATAAGTTTAAAATTATCCTATTATGATAAATAAGATTTAAAAGCTCCTTCTTATGAAAAAAAAACTCAGAATAAATTCTATACAATGCAGAAGACTATTTGGAATCACTAATTGCTCCATTTTGTGATCCCTAAAATGGCCTCTTTTGTTCAGATCATATTAGTTTTATATCCCGTGGGTCATCGTGGATAGTCTTATAAATATATTTTATTGATATTTTTTTCTTTGTCATTAAAATACCATGTAATTAGTTATTTGTTAAACCAAAAAAATCTAATCAAAAGATTCAATAATTAAAAAAGGTCCAAAATCAACATGGAAAGAATGCTCGAATAACCGAAATTAAAAAAGTATTAATTTTAGTTAATCAGTCTATAACTTTTTATTATTATTATTATTATTATTTTTTTTTGTGTATTTCGTATCAATGTAATTATTAACATCAACTTTCATCATTTAATTTTGTCATAAATTCGCACAAGCAAATTATCTTATTAAGTGATTAATTATTTTATGTGTTTATACTACTTCAAAAAATAAGGAACAACGCTGTTTAGACACGTAAAAGAATGATAATCAACTTTAAAGGGAGATATAATCAGTCAGAATTTCATATAAACTATAAAATAATCAATTTTAACCATTAAATTCTTATTTAAATAATTCTTTTCTAATGTTAATCTATCTGCAAAGTTGACTTGTTTTTAGGAAAAAAGTGGTTCTATAACAATTCTATTTTAGTATTGTTGTTGAAAATATCTTGAAAAATATGCATCTTAGATTGATTAATTATAAATCATAAAACCTTTATTATCGTCAAAAAACTTTATAACTAATCATTATTTTTATATAATTACATGGATAATCATTATTTTTTGTAAGGTGACATGAAGAATCATTATTTTTTTATTATTATTTTAACTACTCTGGACATCCAATTTTAAAAGAACACAAAAAATGAACATCATTAAAAACAAAAGACGATAACTAATATAATTAAAAAAAAAGAAATTTGGGCTTGGGCGCACGTCAAGCTAGCACTCCTAAACTGGAACGCACACGATCCAAATAAATAGAAAGAAAATAAAATAAAATAAAATTGGGTTGGATGTGCATAGGCCCAAAATCTTTTTTTTTTTTTTTTAAGTAGTTGGTGAGGGATGGTACGTTGTCGCTAGAAGTTCCGACAACCACATGGTCGCTAGAAAAAAGAAAAATGAAAAAAAAACTCGATTTCTCATTCATTCTCATCTCAAAGCTGCCCTCACAACATGTAGAAATCACTAGTTGTATATTAGCATTATGTTATGAGTAGATAATCGTTATATATTTAAGATTAATGGTTCATATGGTGTAATGTAAGTAAAAAATTTTATTTTTGATGATTAATATAAATCGAATATATATATAGTTAATTTTTGTCGAAACTAATGACACACACACACACATAACTAGATTCAAAGTATATATAATAAATAGAAAAAATTATAAAAATATATTAAAGTCAATAGATTAAAATAAAAACTACAATAAAATTGGCTCGATAAATTTTGAATAAATATATATAAAAAAGCAAATAAAACTTATGAATATTTTGAACTCATTATTATTTTTTTAAAAAAAATTTGAGCCAAACCATCTAAAACATACTTATGAATTCTCTCTCTCTCTCTCTCTCTCTCTCTCTCTCTCTCTCTATATATATATATATATATATATATATATAACACTCATTTAAAAATATAAAAATAATTTATTGTATAAATTATAATAATATATTTTTTAAAAAATAAAACATTGACGTTCTAAAATTTTATTCCAAAATTCATATATTAAAAAATCAAATTTATTAACAAATAAAATTAAATCAAAGAATTAATTTAATGACAAATTTAATAAGAAACAAACAATTGAAGAAAAAATTTTAAACAATAAGAATAAAATAATCAAATATGTATGTTAACATCAATGTCAAAGATATAATTAATATTGGTTCGGGGACATTAAAGGGACCAATAATATATACGTTTTCTTTTCCGGTGAAGGGACCAATTATATATGAGTGCTTAACCCATCCATCACTTGCTAGAGATCCAATTATACTATAACAATATGTATATTCTTTTAAGTGTTTCCTTTCGCCTCTTGGTGATTCAATCTTAAAACACATCAAGATTTAAAATAATTAGCCAACTTTTTTTTTTATTATTCTATCATGAGATTGGTGGCCGGACTTTTAAAAATATAAAATAAATTATAGGAAGAAAAAAAAAGAAGAGCGAGGTCACGCTTGGTTGGTATATATATTAATTTTTTTAAAAAAATTTAGTCAAATTAATTTTTTAACTAATTATTATTTTTAAAAAATTAAGCAAAATTATCTAAAACACACTTTTAGCCTCTCTCTCTCTCTCTCTCTCTCTCTCTCTCTCTCTCTCTCTCTCTCTCTCTCTCTCTCTCTCTCTCTCTCTCTCACACACACACACACACACACACACACACACATATATCACAATTTATATATGCAATTATGCTACTTTCATTTAAAAATCATAAAAAAAATCAATCATATAAATTATAATAATATATTTTAAAAAATAAAACAATCAAGTTCTAAAATTTTATTTCAAAATCCATATATAAAAAATCAAATTTATTAACAAATAAAATTATATAAAATTAAAAAATTAATTCGATGAAAATTTTAATAAGAAAAAAAAATTGAAGAAATAAATTTTAAACAATAAAAATAATATAATCAGATATATATGTTTAAACTAAAAATTTTAAAAATATTATATATATTTTATTACCATAAAACTATATGCAAAACTAAAAAAAATAAAGATCGTTTTTTTTTTTTGTATTTTCACACCTAATTTCATGATAAAAAATATAAAAATAAATTATGAGAAGGAAAAAAAAAGAAAAAAAAAAGAAGGCAACCGCTAGTTAGGACTATTTGTGCGGAGTCCGCTTCAGCTCGTTTCTCAAGGCCGACCTTATAAAAAAGAAAAAGATGCTTCTCCGGGCCAAAAAAAAAAAAAAAAAAAAAACCACGATAAAATGAGCTGAGCCAATTGCTCGAAGCCCGCTTCTCCATGCCGACACTAAAAAATAAATAAATAAATAAAACGCTATAGTAAACGATTAGGGAAAACCTTAGTTCTTTTAGTTTTTTTTTAGAATAATTATAATATCTAAAACACACTTCTAGCTCTCTCGTTTTCATCGAATTTATACATGCAATAATGTCATTTTTATTGAAAAATCATATTAAATAATCAATCATATAAATTATAATAATATTTTTTAAAAAAATAAAACAATCAGGTTCTAAATTTTTATTTCAAAAGTCATGTATAAAAAAAATCAAATTTATTAACAAATAAAATTATATAAAATTTAAAAATTAATTCAATAAGAATTTTAATAAGAAACAAACAATTGAAGAAATAAATTTTAAATAATAAAAATAGTATAATCAGATATATATGTTCAAAATAAAATTTTAAAAAATATCATAAATATTCTATTACTGTCAAACTATACGTAAAATAAAAAAATAACGATCTTTTTTTATATTTTCGCACCTAATTTCATGATAAAAAATATAAAAAAATTTATCTATATAGAAGGGGAACAACTCGTCATCCGATATTTAAATAAATCATTTATTAATAAATATTATATTATTATACCAATATATTTAAAATAATATTTAACTAATAAAATGTAATATTAATTTAATTATATAATATAATTATCAAATATATTATATTACTAAAATACTTATCAATTTTTATATATATTCAAATTCATAAAATAAAATATCAATATATTATTTATATCATAATAAAAAATAATAAAAAAGTATTATATTGTATAATAAATATAATATTCACAATAAAAATACAAATAACTATTTTATAATAATTATTTAATATTTTCTGTAAAATATAATGATAATATATTATAATTATTAACTATAAACAATTTTGTTATTCAAAAAAAATATATTTCTAATAAATAAGGACCTAAATAATATATTTGACCATATAATAATAGTCCCACAGATATAGAAACTAAAAAAAAAAAATGAGGCCGGACATTAAAAAAAAAAAAAACAAAACAAGAGAAAAGCACTACATAAATACAATATTCACAATTAAAATGCAAATAACTATTTTATAATAATTATTTGATTTTTTTTGTAAAATATAATGATAATGTATTATAATTATTAACGATAAATAATTTTATTATTTTTAAAAAATATATTTATAATAAATAAGGACCTAAATAATATATTTGACCATATAATAATAGTCTTATAAATATAGAAATTTTAAAAAAAATGAGGCCGGACGTTCAAAAAAAAAAAAACAAAACAAAAAAACACAACTATTTTTTTGTAAAATATAATGATAATATATTATAATTATTAACTATAATAATAGTCCAACAAATACTTTAATAGTTGGGAAAGAGAATAAATTAGTCAACAAATTATATTACCTTAAAGGCAATGAAGGTTGTAGAGTCTATTCATTGGAGAATGCAAAACGATGCATGCGTGAATAAGTTAATGTATATCATTGGATCTAGAAGAATAGGTGGCTTTAAAAAAAAAGGGGAACTGCTACAATGAAATGAAATGACCAAAAGGACACAAAAAATTAGTTTTCAAACCAAAGGGACTAATTAATTTATTCCACAACGAATTGTTATTTTTTTTCTATTTCTTAAAAGAAAACATTAAAATAATAAAATGGTGAAAATGATATAAAAAAAATTAATTTTCAAACCAAAAGGACTAATTAATTTATCTCTCTTAAAATGAGGGACCAAGATGCAAAAAAAAAAAAAACATAAATAGAGACTTTGAGTGTGTAGCTACGGTGAATGAATAGTTATATCCTTACTTCTTTTAGTTATATATATATAATTTTCTAACCTCAAAATACATCTTAGTTCACTTAAAAACTCTAAAAAACAAATCAAATCCAAAAGCCTTTTTTTTTTTTTTTCAGGATCCTATCTCATTTTTTATGACTGTTTGGCGAGTTGAAATAACCATCGAGGAAAAAAGAAAAAGGTATGTATGGACACTATTCCAATGGTACCAATAAAAAAGTTGTTTGTTCAAATATATATACATGC